AAGCATGCTGAAGGGAGAAAGATAATTATCTTCACTGCGAGCGAGCTCTTTGGTGTCGAACTAGTATCATAACACAATTGGCAAATAATGTTAAGAACACAAGTCATAACAATGATTATAATTGGGACTCCTTGCTCAAACCTATCTACATTCTTGAACAATAATCGGAGGTATTGACTTCTGGATCTAGCACATTGTCACGAAGATATGATGGGAACTTGCCTTCAAGAACAAAAGTGTCCTCCCTATAACAATCTTATAGCCTGATCATTCAACCCATCCAAAGTTTTTTGAATATGGCGATGAGTGCTTTTCTCACTGGCGAACAACCTTCTTTGACTCCAACTCAAAGATTGAACAACGCCTATAAGAGAACTCACAGACAATGTCACATATGCAACAAAGTCACGACTACTTCAAAGTAAAAACTAATATTACTTTCATCCACCTTCACATTAAAGATTATCTCAATTGGGAGCAAACCATTGAATGTATCGAGATCCCTCCAAAAAGATAAGTAATTTATATTGCTTGAAAGCTAAAACGAGGGCATATACTTGATGAATTCAACTAACACCACCCAATCACAACAACAAAAGGAAAAGTGTAATGCGAAGAATTGGCATTGAATGAAATAGCTACGACAATAGCACTTCCTTCTATCTAATAATCTTAGTGCCCGTAATAACCTCAATGAGATTGATCAGCAGTTTGTCATAAGATACATTGGAGGATTAATGGAATCTCAAGAGATGAAGTTCACATGTAAATATAAGATACAAATCAATCAAATCTCCAAGTCAAATGTGTTATAAAAATTACTTAAATAAATAGTCCAATAAATTTAGTAAAGGCACTCTTCAAGCCATCAAATCAAATTACCTTCAATTCCAAATCCCTAAACCAACATAGCATCATAAGATTAAAACACACCAATAAAATGGGGCATAAATAAATAATAGTTGCAACAAATATGGGCCTCCTAAATGCTTTCATTGTTTCCAACGAAGTCTTAAATTTGATGAATGACATAATATGCAACAATTACAACAAATGAAAGGGTAGCATTATGATGACAATCTTATAAATTGCCCACATGTGAATGACAAAATTTGAGGATATTCACAAGAATGAATGAGAGTTTTTGTTTTGTGTTATTGAGGGAATTTTATTAATTCAAAAAGAACCTACAACTACAAGTGTCACATCATTCCCAAAAATTTCATCTCTAATTGTGTGCTTAAAACCTTGCAATTGAAGACTATAGACATCCCCACCCTCTCAAAGTAATGTAGATGTGAAAGGGAATAAAATCCACTATGATTGACACATGCAAGGAAAAATTTTCTATATAAAAACAACAACAACAACATCAAGCCTTTATCCCACTACATGGGGTCGGCTACATGAATCCTTTTTTCTCCATTGTGTCATATTAAAGGTCAAATTCTCATTTAAATCTAATAAAGAAATGTTATTTCTAATATTTTATAACCAAGTCTTTTTAGGTCTGCCTCTACCTTTCTTAACATAAGTCAAATCTAATACATCTACTCTCCTAACCGGGTCATTGGAATGCCGCCGTTTTATGTGACCAAGGAAAAATTTTCTATGAGCAAAATTTATATTTATGAGGTCCTCTATTATGTATTGGATATGGATGTTTACCACCTAATGTTGGGTGGTTCTAGTAATTCTACATGGGAGCATAGAATACTTGTTGCGTCAATGCATATGCATTTGAATGGATGGGAAAGAAAATGCAACTGTTGCCCACACAGATACTATAGATAGATGCCAAAGTGAAAAGAGCAAAATTCACTCCAATTTCTTCACAATTACTAATAGCACACAATAATAAAACAATGGTGTATGTAGTTTTAATTGATGTGCAAAATGGTGCAATCATAGTGGTTCTAAATGTTGTCAAACCTTTATTCAAATAGTTTAATAATATTAAACTCTTGAACTGCCCAAGCACTTACCACAATTGTAACCCATTTAGCAACAACTTGCCTCATTTTGAGGTTCACCTTACCCAATCTACTGCACAACAAGATGAGTCCCAAAGAGCTCAAAATTCTACAAGAGATGAGAATGACCTTCTTAAACAACAACTCATTCAACACAATTTAAGCCCTTGCTTAATATCTTTGATCCTTATTCCAAAGAAAGATAGGAAATGTAAAATGAGTATAGATAGTCATATAATCAACAAAATTACAATCAAATATAAATGTCCATAGCCACACCAAAAGACTTGTTAGACAAACTTAGCAATACAACTACCTTCTCCAAACTAAATTTAGGGAACATATATGAGTAGATACAAATTGGGTTGGGAGACACAAGGAAAATTCATTTAATACACAAAAAGGGCTACGAATAGTGAGGCACCATAAAAAAAGTACTAAAACATTTAGTTGGTCATTTATATATTATTTATTTTAATATTATCTTAGTCTTTAGCATAACCTTGGCAAACCATTTGCACCATCTCAACTTTTTGGTCTTTAGCTTGTGTGATCACAAATTATACCCAAACTTTTCAATCTGAGTTTGTTGTTGATATGGTGCACTTCTTAGGCTTCATCATCAATGCCCATAAATATAAGCTAATCCCAAGAAAGTTATAACTATCCAATCTAAAATACCTCCTACCTTGATTACAAAGGAGTTTCCATGAATTAGCAAACTTATATTATTGCTTGATCTTAAGCTTCAAAGGCAATAAAGTTTTAATTCAATAAGAAGCTATTTATGATGAACATTGATTCTAGCAATTCCAGACTATTCAAGTTGAAATAGATGTGCATCAATCGTGAGCAATAAAGCAACTTTGTCATAAAAATAAATCAATTGAGTTTTTTAATAAAAATTGAATCCAACAAGACAAAAATGGTCTAATTTTGCACAAGAATTATATGCAATTGTTAGATCTCTTAAACAATAAGAACATTATTAATTGCATTAAGAACTTGTCATTTAGTGATTACTGATTAGTAATTATAATCATTAAAAAATTGAGCCACATGCATCTTTGATTGGTGATGTTCCTACTGAAGTTCAATTTTGTCATCAAGCATAAAGTGGAATGATGCAATCATATGGTTATGCACTCAAATGGAAAGCTAATTATCTTATCATTTTTATAAATAGAAATCACAAGTCATGAATTAATCTAAAACCAATACTTGACAAAATTTGATTTTAGTGAACCATGGTATAAATGCAATGCTTAAAAACCAACAATTGATTATTTCCTTCAGGAAGGCCTCCCAGTCAAAGGTAATTAATTATACATACCACATACATTTCCCTGCACAAAGTTGATTAAGGAGAAGTATGCCAAATGACTTGCAACCCATATGGGATGCTATAAAACATTAGCATTATTGATTATTCCATGCATGATTATTTTAACTAAATTTGAGTCCCTATGCATGTCATTCGGTAGGTAAGTGTCATATGTACCAAACTTACATGAGTGTTATACTAGACACTAGCCTTTACACATCTCTATGAATTCAAGATTCCATTTGAGAAGATTTGGACCTCAATTTTGTCACGGGTTTGCCAAAAACCAAACACAAAGTCAACATGATCTTGATAATCTATAATCACTTCTCCAAAATGTTCAATTTTGTTTTGTACAAAATAAAATTCAACATTTTTAATATGACTTAGATATTTTTTCATAGCATTGTACTCCCCCACAAGTTACCTCAAAGCCTAATTTCACATAGTGATGTCAAATAATTAACTATTTTTTTGCAAGATCTATGGAAAAGATTTCAAATTGAGCTTTTTTTTAGCTTTACATATCATCTTTAAAGAGACAAGTAAACCTTAATGGTGAATCAGACAGTCAACAATATGATTCATTGCCTAAATGGATAACATTCAAGGTATCGGTAGGAAGTTTTAGGACAAGTTTTGCTTAGAATTTTTTGGTTAGTTATTCCACAAAATAAGTTACCTTTTAACACAATATATAGCAAACTTCATAAATTTCAACCATACCTTCAATCTCACAATAATAATCATACTACAGAATACAACATCTATAAAAATAACCACCCATCTTTGATACAGTGATTAATGATGTGAAAGAAAAGCTCACTATCAACACTCAACTCTATAAACAATGAAATGATCTCAACAAACAACAAAAAAAATTTGGTTTTGGTGATTTGATTATGATGCACCTTAGCAATGAAAAATTTACAACACATGCATGCTAAAAAATAAATCTTTAAGATTGGACCATTTTTTATTGCCGATACTCAAAAATAAAACCTTGAAAACCATATCAACGATAATATTTATGTCGTTAGATCACCTCCATAACTGATCAAATCCCGAACTTTCAACATTCTCAATATATGCATCTATCATTCAGCCAAATATGGTACTCTGAGGCTCACCAGATTCAATTCCATCTCTACAAAATCAGGATAAAACTGAAGAAGCTCACCAAACTCACCTTGATTTCATTACGTGGATTACCTGAATTACTTCTTTGTTCATATAGTTTTATTTCTACATGCTTCTATGTTACACTAAATTAGTTAAGTATTAGCTTAACAGTAATCAATTTTAATAACTTGTTAGTTGCCTTTTTATTCCGCTACGAGTAGTAGAAAATAATGGGGAAGTGTTTAGTGGATGGCAGATATTTTATACATATTTATAGATATTCAACCAAATTATTCTATTTGTTCTCTTTCTTGTTTGGCTAAGCCAGAAAGCAAACATTATAACAAGAAAAATTATGATATCTTACATAGTGAACTATCTTGATTAATTGAACCTGGATACAGAAATGGGAAAACACAATGGCCAACAACTCAAAATTTCGAAGTTCGTTACCACCAAAACTAGCAGTCCGCTGAAAAAAGAATTCAGGGATTTACCTGTAGGAATTTGACAGAATTTAAGTCCTTGATAAAAACTCGTTTGGTCATATCCTCCCTCCACGATAGATGAAAATTCAAAAATTAGTAAAACACAATGAGAACCACATCACGGATGAGCAATTTTATTCACTACGTATTTTTTCTATTTTCATGAAACCCGTCCAAGAAAGAAAAAACAGCACCTCCTGAAAACTTCACCCATAGGCGCAAATTAGAAAACACAAATTTGATACTACACAATACACAGAAAAGATTCTGCCCCTTCCTCTTTGAAATTAATGCGCAGCAACGAGATCGACACCGAGCACATCCAACACGGAATCCGACGGATCTGGACTAGGAGGTGCAAAAAAAACATACTTGGCCGCAGCGAGCTTTTTCCGTTGCAAAATCCTCGGTGCACATATCCTACTAGCAAAGAATCGGATTTGCTCGCCCTCCAACCCCTCAATCGGCGTCGCTGCAGCACCAGCAGCCGGAGACACAGGCAGCGAGATCCGTGTTGCAGAGATCTGCAGCGATCTTGGCGATCTGGCACAGATCTTCGAGTCCCTCAGCCGCGCAAGCGCCCCCGGCTTCAGAAACCGCTGCAGCCTCTCCTCCGTCCTGGCCGCGGCCCTCCTACACGGGCTCCTTATCCTCCGGTTCATCCCGATGGCCTTGGGAATTCAAGATCTGAGAGGAAATGGGACGATGGAAGTTAAAGGAGGGAGCCAGGGTTTTTTAAGAAGGGCTGGACTGCGAAGAGAGGCGGGAATCAGCGCAGATGCTAAAGGCTTTTTAAAATGGAAAGCGGGAGGTCCTTGCTATGAGCCCGCGCTTGGTCTGCATTTCATGTGGCCGTTACTGTAGCCTTTACCTGTGACACATTGTGTGACCGGCTGCCACAGATTGCAGGGCACAACCTCAAAAGTATAATCTAACCGCCCGAATTGGATCGGACGGTGCTAATTCAGAGTTTTAGTTCTATATTATATCTCAAATAGCATTAATTGTCTTCAACAAAACTTGTGATGTAACCCTCTCTTCCAGGAGCAATTATTACGTCTGGTGAAATTCAAACGTATCCGAATGTATAACGAGCAATACCGAGTTTTAGGTGACGTGGCGCGTGGTTATTGGTCTCTGAAGGCATTAGGTGACCGGACGTGATAATTGCTCCTCTTCCAGAGTTACATTGCACCTCACGTGCATTATAGTCGCCTTCTTTGAGACTTGTATTGCACTTTCTATGTGCTACAATTGTCACTTCAAGGATAAATTATTCTGTGCCGAGTTCGAACGGGAAGAACGACCGTCCAGACATGTAAGTGTACACATTTGTACATAGTATGTACACTGACAGTCCAGTTGATTTTTCCCCTTCGGACTCCGCACAAAATAATATCTCCACTTCAAGGGCTACACAACAGTCATGCTTGCTTCATAGCTGCCATAGTTTCTACATCAATGTTGTAACTTTTTTTTTGCAGTACAATTGTATTGCTCCATTTCTAAGTCTTGCTTTTGTCATAGTTATTATGAATATAAACATGTGTTGCAATATTGCTTTCATCAGTGGCCATTTGGGTCATCATCATCTCCTTATAAATATGCATCATAGCCTCACCTTTGTTGAAGCTCCATTCAAATTTACATCATAACTTTATTTATGATATAATTGTATCATTTTAGACCTAAGTTATAACCTATACTAAATCACATTATCCATCTCTTTTAATTTGTCCATCACAAAATTTATTGTTGCATGATTGTCTCATTCAAGATTTATATTGTAATTTATCATGTGTCATGATTGTCTCCTTACAAAGCTGCATCACATTATACAGCTTTTTTTGTCCAAAGGGACACCTAGCATTGAAATTCCATCAATTGATGGCGAGCGGTAGGGCTGCAAACGAATCGAACCTAGTCGAGTATATAGGTGTTCATGTTTGAGTTCGTTTATTATTAGCTTGTTCAAGTTCGGTTTGTGTTTGATTCGAACCTTATTGTTTGTGTTCATGTTTGGTTCGTTTAAATTAATGATGTTCACGTTTGGTTCATGTTCGGTTCGTTTAGTGCTTATCAAGCTTTAAACAAACAAGCCTTAACGAGCTATATTCGTGAGCATATTTAGTGATTTTTTTACACTATCAAACAAGCAAGTTCATGAACAATTCTAATGAGTATTCTTGAGCTATCAAATGAGCAAGATCATAAATAAATACATAACTAGTATTTTTGAGCTACCAATTGAGCTCGTTCACGAACAAACGATCTATTATTCATCTTATATTTGTTCATAAACATGTTAAGCAAACAATCTAGCAAACATTGGCAAATGTGAAATGTCACTTATTCATTAAAAAATCACTCTATTGAAACTATAAAATAAAATGAAATTAAATTTATAAAAAAGGCAGCTGTCTATTTAAAATAAAAATATGATTAATATATATGAATATATTTATCAAGCTTTTTCATGAGTTCTAAATCGAACATGAATCGAGCTTAATGTCGAGCTTGTTCACGAGCTTCAAAGATGTTGTTTGAGAACATAAATGAACCGAACATATTAGTGTTCAAACTTGTTTATTTAAAGATCTAAGTAACTTAGAATAGTTTAATTTATCATATATAAAATAATATATCAAGAATACACCAATTGCATAAACATGTCACAATGTATTCCAAATCCTCTTTGGCATGTAATATCATAATATGGCTCCTTCACACACTTGCAGTTATCATGCAGCAGTTCTTAATTAGCTGGCGAGGGAAGAAGATTGTTCTTTTGTGTGAAAGGGACCGCTCAACTCCTGGGGAAGAGAAGTAACTTTAAATTATAATATAGCTTACAAACTTTCTTAAATGACAAAAGGGAGAACACAATTTAGAGGCCTTTCTCTGCAAAGTCAGCTTGCAACATATTAATTATCTTCTAACTTTTTTGTTTTTGTTTTTCTACAGGTTCCTTTGGGCTAGTCTTCTCATAAGAGCATCCCAAGGGGACCAAATTAGAGTGAGCAACACCCAACAAGCTAGAAGACCCCAAATTATTATGAGTGTTTACTGCACAATGACTTTGAGTTCATGTAGTGATCAAAAGAGTTAATTATAGGGGTGTCAAAATATCGGATTTGGGTTGAACATGACACTGACCCGCTAATGTGACACTACCCAAACCTAACGTGTTTTAGCAAATGGGTCAGAAATTACAACCCGGACCTGACCCGTCGGGTTTCCGATTGAATCGATTCGACACGAAATCGACTGAGCGTCCGCTTGCAAAACTGCAGAAGCGACTGAGCGGCTATAAGCATCTACCAATGTGCGCGCCTGAGAGGCTGAGTGTCCTCCTATGGGAACGGCTGGCAGGCTAAGCGAGGTTGCGGGCATGCTGGGCCGAGGTGAGACTAGGCTTGCATCAGTACGGGCCTATGGTGTCTGTCGGTCTGGTGATAGAGACTAAGATCGATGGGTGACGCGATCACTCATCACACGACAGGCAGAGAACGACGCGACAAAGACTAATGTGACGAGCAGGCAAGCAAAATCGGGTTAAAACCGGGTTGACCCGAACCCAACCAGGAATTCAAAATGGGTCGAAAATCAAGATGTGAACCCAAAAAATTCGGACCAGATTCGAGCCGGGTTTTCAGATCGTATCAATTCTTGACACCACTAATTAGCTACAGTAGATCAAACCTTCAAGAATGATTGATTCCCTTGATTACCGATTTGAATTAAGCCATCAATAAAATCATGAAAAAAAACCTGGCAAGATTTGCAATATGAGATAAAACTTTAATGATTTTTTTTCCCAATATTCATATGAAGAAGTATCAATGCGCACCTTTCGATCCAAAGGAGCAGAACATACCAACCAAAATGCGGTCCATAGATGGTCGAGGGAGTCTAACAATTGTAGTAATGGTTTGTCAAATAGATTGAACCCAAAAAGTATCGTATGGATTTGTTGATGTAATAGATCCTAGGAAAAGAGAAAGCAACCCAAACATGTGGAATAGGGGGTTTCTTGTAAGCATTAAAAAGGGAATATATACATCTGTTAGCCATTCAAATAATAGGAACGCATGGAGAAAGTCTTACAATAATTAATGTCCAACAATAATCTGAGAAGTAAGTACTGTGGCAAAATATATAAAGTTTATAAATGTGGTTGTGTTATAAATTTCGTCCTATAATATGGAGAAACTATTCTGTGCGGACGTCAGACGCAGCTCTACGTCCAGATGCCGCGGTATCGAGCCACAATACCGAACGGTACCGAGCCGTGATACTGGACGGTACTGAGCCACGGTACCGAACAACACCACGCAGTGCCAAAAACCATAGTACAGTAAAAGGGTGACGTTTATGATCCACACATAATAATTTTTTAAGATCGAAAAGATGATATGTTATTTAGCATATTCCATTTAAATTGATCTGAAGTTAAATTTACATACTAAAATTTGTAAGAAGATGGAATAGTATTAAGAAAAAAAAGGTAAAATTTGATAAATTTATCTTTCTACTGTATGTTTGACAGTCTTTCTAGCTATGTTCAAGATAATAGCTCTTAAAAGAAAGAGAATTTCATTATGCAAAAATATAAAATTACTACCTGCTCGATGCAATTTTTTAAAATTATAAAAAAAACAAATCATTTTAGTCCAGACCCATTCTCGGGATGTCATATATAGTGAGATTTGAAAAGGATAATTGTTTATGAAATATGGTTGTATAACACACAAAATATGCAATTTATATTTACAAAATTGCAGGTGGAACCGGCTTTCTTTAATCATAGAGGTATTTTTCATTATGTCATCTGGAGTCTGATCAGTCCTCAGCAGTGAGTGAGTACTGTAAGCTTACTGGTATGCAGCGAGTCCTGTTTGCTCTCCAATTAGATTAATTATTCTGTGCGGACGTCGAATTTTATTTGTAGACCAATCAAAATATGTCATGTTGCCTCTTTGCTCGGCACTGCTCGGTACCACCCAGTACCGCTGATATGATGCATTTTGATTAGTCTCTAGATGATGTTCTGCATCTGACATCCGCACATAATAATTTCTCCTCCAGTTAAGCTTGTTTCCCACTATTTGTGTTAGTAGTTTTCATGCAAACATCCTAGTAAATGAACATAATTCTGAGTGAAATGTCATCATGTGTATTTGATTGGAAAAGTTATGTTTCATGCTGAACTCCAAAGAGCTAGAAACTTCCTAGTGAGCTCATTCCGGATTTTGGCTTGAGATAATAAACTTTTCTTGAGCGCCTATTTACTTGTGTACTTCAGATAGCGATTTCTGAGCTTGTTGGAGTTGCCATGAATTTGGCTCAACTCTTATTTGTTCATGTTCTTGACCGTCGTACGGTTCCCATATATGCAGGGAGTCCAAGGGCCGGGGCAGCGCCCCCTGGCGGTGTTCAACTAGTTTTGAAATTTAATTTGTTTTTTCGGTGACCTATTTTGGTCTTATAAATATATTATAAATGGCTTAGGGTATGAAAGCTATTTCCGTTTATACTTCGTCTCTTCTTTATAGTGAAACCGTTCTCCCTTCTCCCCCATGATTTTTCCCATATTTGGGTTTTCTACGTAAATATCTTATGTTCGTTTGTGTTTTGTAAACTGTGATTATTTATCCTTGTGTTTGGTTCATCGTTACCTAAGAGAGCTAATTAAGACAAATTCACTGACACGTCAGATACACAGGCTTCAAACTCAATTTCTTTTGGTTAT